CCTCCCTCTTTCAATGATCAGCTGTAATCAGACGATCAAATGTCCAATTTCTTCCCCTTTCTTTCTTTTAATACTCAGGAAAAATAGGTAAAATGGTCAGAAAAATATCATAAAAGTTAGTTTGGCCATTTTGAAATTATTTAATGTGTACCTAATGTTACATGATGGTGTTGACTAACGGTCAACTAATGGTAAGAACCTATTAGACACAATTTGAAAATTCAAAGTACCACAGAAACACATTTTAAAGTTCAATGATTTGGCACAATCCCCAAAGTTCTGAGTCCTGTTTAAGAATTTTCCCTAAATTTAATTATAAATAACTAGTCACTTCCATGCTTCCATATATACTTTGAAGGGTAGTGAGACTTTTTTTTTTTTTCATTTTACAATACAAATACCCCTTTATGGGGTTAATGACAAATAAGCTTGCACTTTCATTTGCAAGGCCCATTGAACTTTCACTTTGCAACAAATATGCCATGGCCATTAAGTCAGACGGAATACATTAATTATTGGAATGACTTTCTGTAATTTTCCTTTATTTTCTTTTCTTCACCTTTTTCTCTTAAATCCTAATTGATCAAAACATATCCAAATAAAAGTAGTTAAAATAACAAGAATCGTTTTACCAACATAGAAATTTCTCCAAATGAAACTAGCTCAAATAACAAGAATCATCTTACTAGCATAGAAAAGAAAAAGTTTTTTACTTAATTCTTGATTCATTTCACTTACATGTATGTCTCTCTTTTCATCTTAAAATTTAAAAATTATCCACTCCTTTCTCCAATAAATCTAGAAAATCAAGCAAAACCATTAGTTTATATCTATCAAAAAGAAATATCTACCACTTCATTTGAATATTGAATCCAACAAGAAATCTACAAGGATCTATCAGAGCAACTGAGAAGACTTCAATGTTATTAGATTTATAAAACTAATCAAATAATAAATTGCTCAAATAAATAATAAAATGGTAGTTTGGGGATTTAAAAAAATTAAACACCTGAATGATAATCTTTTTCAAAGTTAACTAATGAAGGGGGTATTTGTTGCAAGGTGAATGTTAACAGTTAAGGGGTGTCTTTGTTGCAAATGAAAGTTTAGGGGGTATTTGTAACTAGCCCCATAGTACAAGGGGGTCTTCATAATTTACCCTTTTGGCTCCATGGGGCTAGACAACAAGGCATAGCCCATTCCTCAAACCTAACTCCCAACCCTGGTGCAAGCGATATTCAATCCCAAATCTCCACTACAACTAGCTCGAGGGCTTCCCAACTAGCTGATTAGCACCTTGTCGAAGGGTAGTAACACTTTAGGGCCTGGATTTTGAAGTACAATGATTATTTACCTTGGACTTCTAGAAACATACACTCATGTCCCGCTATCTATCGGTTATTTTTGGTAGGAAATGTGACATGTACCTCAAAAGGAACTCAGATATGCTCCAACAAACACTTCAAACATTGTCCCAACATATGACTACAGTTGCACTTTGGGAACATCTCCCTTGTGGGGTTGCAATGGTCTGTTGGGACAGTGTTAAGAGCATTTTGTTGGTAACAAATCCCTATCCTCAAAAGTTGTAAAATCCCAAAAGTACCCTACTCTTCAACCTTTCATCAACTGAATTCGGTTCCATTTATTCCATTGATTAACCCAAAGAAGAAGAAGAGGGAGAGGATGGAGGTGGGGTTAAGTTGTCGGTGTTCTACATCCAGTTGAGTGAGAGATACCAACAAGGAAGAAACCAAATAGAAGAAGAGAGGAGAGAGCAGGAAGGACAAGGAGGTTGGGGTTTGCTTTGATTCGGTGATGGGAAAGAAGGAATAGAATTGTGGCTGGTTCTGGAAAGAATACTAAAAGAAAGAAAGAAGAGAGAGAAGGGGGGAATGACTAGGATGGTGTATGGTTTTGTGGCAGTTTAGTTGAAAAAGAGTGCCAGGTCATTGCCATATATGCTATTTATCCCGATATGTTATTTGTATGGTGTTTAGTAAGACTGTTTATTAAATAAACATCTTCTTGGTTTGTGTGAGAGCTAACTATTGGGGGTAACACAATTTTTTTGGTTTGTATGAGAGCCAACTATTGAGCTTATGTGGCACCTAATGGCGTCTAATGGCAATTAACTGTCAAACAACACCATATAAACATTTATCAACCACTTTCTCATTTTCAAGGTAAAAATATTACAAAAGATTTATTAAATAAACACCCATAGTATTAAACATCCCCTAGTTTGGCCTATTCAATGGCAATGATGGGAAAAAGAGAAAAAAAAAAAAAAGAGAAGAAAGAAGACAGGAGAGAGAGAAGACCTACTTGTGACATTGATTTTAAATAAATCAGTAGTTTGGTCATTTTATCACCCACTGTAATATCGATTAACAGTGTTAGACTTGAGTGTATTATTTGGATGTTGCACTTGAAAGTTCATGCCCTTAAATGTCACTACACCTAAAATGCAGAATACATATCTGTAACTTTCCCTTTCTTATTTATAATTTTTTGGGACTGTTCCATCACCCACTTGATGGTGCAGTTTTTTGCTTGCTTGCTATCCCTTCTCTGTCGCTAATGCTTTTGAATTTTGATGGTAAAGCAGCACTACTTTCTGGCCCTGGTGGTTTATAGTATTTTTTTTTTTTTTGGTAAGAATTTAGCTTCTCTTATTGCGTGGGCCAAAAACTGGGTTTCGTAGTTTTATTTGGATAATTGGCTTTGGCATGGATAACAAGTGTGCATGATATTTTTAGGGAAAGCGGAATGAGGTATCAAAACATAGAAATGGCAACAAAACGGGTTCAGGGCAAGGAACCCCCTCCCTGTCCCCACCCATTACCATACTCCATTCCAATGGTGGGGCGGGGCAGCACCCACTCAAACTTAAAGGTATTTTAGAAATTAATGTTAAATATAAAAATATTATACTAATTTACCATTGAGTTCAGGGCGGGCAGGTTTGAGAAATTATATATAAACCCTATGTAAGATCGGGGATGCGGAAAATTGTTATCCCTTAAGAAATGGAAATTGGAATCACCAGATGCATATCCTCCTCCCCAAGCAAAATGTGGCAAAAAGTTCAGGTCAAACGAACGGAATTTGGAAATCGATGTAGTCATCATCAATTAACAAACATCTTTTGTTTAGGGTGGTGGTGAATAGTGATTTTGTGGCAAAAAATAATCCGAAAAGACAAAAGCACCTATTGATTCATTGATTGAAGTTTTATCGGATTGATATAAGAGGACAACCATTCCGAGAATATTGAATTTGAATGCTTATCTCCATTAGTTTCACAATCATTTTTTTGGATTTTGGTGTTCCTTTTTATTCCTAGTAAAATATCAAAAAATGAAAAAGTCTTGCACCTATAACCTTTCATGTCGAATTTGTTCTCCCTCTTGCCACGAGAGAACTCAAGATTATATAGCCTACTTATCCACGTGACATGGTTTAAAGTTCAAATTCATCATATCAGCAGATCCCCAATACATCAAATATTGAATGCTGAATGAATGCTTGCCCCAGTTGTTAGAACAAGAACTGAACTGATGAAGCTTCAGTTTTCCTGCAACAACACACATGTGAAGAGTATCTATGCTATACTAGTATACTCTCATCATCGAGTAAGGCTGCTTGGAGGAAAATCGCGGAGAGGGTTTTCCGTGAGCAGCTCAGTTTTCCTGCACAAGGCAATAAAAGAAACCGGTCATTTACATAATTAGTTGGTATCAAATAACAATAGACAATTATAACATGCTTCTTAAGGTCATCGTCATGGCTGTTTCCTCGCCTAAGATGCAAAATTTAAGACTCTCCACCTTCACCGGTTGATTACTGCAGTTTTTAAACACAATGGTAACATCTCGATTTCATTTCACCCTTGCATGCATTGTATTGTTTGGTTAGGTACCGTCTTAAACTGGCACGGTGATTTACAGAGGACAAGCCAAGTAATGCAAGGGTGTCAATGTGCCATCCAGTTATTAGGCTTAACCAGGCAACATCCTGACAGAATAATTCTCTCTGCCATTAGATGGTATTACAGGGAAACCTTAGTAATAATGATAATTAGAACCATCAATTAGCTGTAACTGCTATGTAGCTCATATTCCAGTTACAAAGAATGCATTAGGTGCTTAATTTACTTACCTCTGTGGATTCCTTGTCAATACAAAAACTGGAAGCTGCTGCTGCTGCAGCAGGTCTATACCCAGGCCTCGGGGGAATCTGAAAAAGGGAATCCAACAAATTTGAAAGTGGAATTATGTGCATGAGGCAATTTGAATCGACCATGGCGATAATAAGGTATACATAACATGGTATCTCCATTTGGGCCTTTTTGTGGAAGAATTAACTCAAGAGACGTGCATCACATCTTCTGGATGCGTTGTCAGAAATCACTTTTAGCATTTTAATAGCAAAAAACTCACGCTGTAGAACTTTCAACAATCAGCATTGCAGGAGCTCGAGTATCTTGGGAATTGGGAGACAGTAAGAAGGTAATTGCATACAAATTCAAAGTCGTCAAGATTGAAGGAGACCCATGGTTCATTATTGATTGCAATCTATCTAGGCAAGACAGACCGTTCATGGAGCATTAGATCGTTGAACCTTGACATTAAAAACCCCCATTCATGTTGTGTTCTATCATGTATATCATAAACTGGGATAACGACATGAGTGATCAAGTTGTTTCAGAGGTTAAGCAGAAAAAGCTTTCGAGATTCTTTGGGCAAAGTGGGGGGGGGGGGAACATGGAAAAACATATTCCCTTGGCAGATGCCACCCCCATGGGGGACTGATGGAATCAATTGAGACAGCAGTGCCAAAACAGAGCCCCTTCTGAAGATGTATTCTAATCAATAATCAATAGATTAAGTGTTGTCACAGTTCCCAGAGTTACTTTTAGAAGAAGAGGCCCACCTACCTATGACTTGTATTAACTATTTATCCAGGTGGAAATGATATAAAGAGCCGCTATTCCATTATCCAACGTGAAAGTTTCCCATTCTCAATTATAAGGTTAAAACACCATAGGCATGGAAACATGTATACAGAAAGGCCATAATGACATGTAAATAAAAATTATCAAAATATAGCTTTCCAGTTTCAAAATAGTCGGTGTCAAATGGTGTAAACAGTTGCTAGAGATGAACCAGAAACTAGACTACCAGAAATACACTCAACAGCAGATTTTATTTCAACCGGTTAAAGATAAACTGAGGTCCCACAGGACAGCATATTGTTCAATCTCTCCCATCGTCGTCATCTGCAGCTCCAGCTTCTATACTAAAGCTATATTCCTGGTCACAACCAAGATATGAATCACACATGAAGTACAGAGTATACGATTTCCTTCCAGCTTCTGAAGGTGCTGAAAACTCAAGCTTGACCTTAGATTTCCTTTGTAGGGAAACCCTCTTGATGGCAAGTAATTGATTAGTCTTGGTATCACCCACTACAAGCCACCATCCCTCTTCTTTTGCTTTTGGGTACCTGGGAGCATCCACAGGACCCACCTCTGACCTTCCCTCGAGGTCCCGTTCAAGGGTGACTAGCAGGGTAACATCATCCCCAGCCCTCACACTATCACTTTCCATTACTTCATATGTCATATCAATATTTGGAAAACGGTTGCAAAACCGTGCAATGTCCAGCAACTGTGAATCTGACATCTGTAACAGCTCCCGCCTCTCATCATCCTCCATCTCCACCAGATCAAATACTGTTTCTATGCTCTTTCCTGGGTTCTCCTGGCATTTCTTTGCCAACTCCTTTGTGAAGTGTGGAAGCTGCAAAAGCATTGAATCACGCTCCCACATGCCCTGTGTTACCATCTGACTCACTTCCATTGCAAGAAGAGCGAGGCTAAGCCACCCATTGCTAGAGATGACATCAACCATGGCTTGGAGCAACCTGCTGGCAGAAAGGAGCACCTCACGCTGATCTGAGGCTAGGTTTCCAACCACTGTATGCCTAGAGAAATGAGCCTGCAGCAAAGCATTTGCCTTCACATGCGGGTCTGTACATTTAGGGTTCTCAAAGGAGAACCTCTGGTGGTTGATCAACCTTCTTATTGACTCTTCCTCCCCAGGTCTAATTGGGAGCTGTGCATATTCAGACGCAGAAGCCAGAATATCCAAAAGGCCTTTCATCTTTGTTTTGGAGGTCAATGATGAACTAAAACGTTCAATTGTAGTATAGCTAATATAGTAATATGAGGCTATCATTCCAAGGTTCAGAGGAGAAAGGTCCATTTCATCTTCTATGGTAACACATTTGCTCGCTTCTAAATCAGTCAAAGTATTCTCTACAAGCTCTGAAAGGTGATCTGAAAGATGCCTGTGACTAACACCCTGGAGATTATAGTAGTTTGGATTTTGAGTGAGCCTCCGATACATGAATGTCCATGTCAGATAATCCACAGCATCTTGTTTGTTCTCAATCACTCCAACAACAATTTCTGCATTAAGATTGTCATGCAAGTAATGTTGTAGATGACTTTCAACAGGGAAGGCCTCGTACAAGAATTTCTTGTAGTATTCTTTACGTGGTGCATGGCAAAGGATGACACACTTCCCAGAATTATCTAAAAGGGGTCGACTGGCATGACCCATCATCTGCAACAGGTCCGTAACAGGGTAGTCAGTATGAGCATTTTCTCGCCCATCATAATATTGTGTTCCCATAACAACTACCAAGTGGGCTGATAATGGCATCCCCCAACACATTGAGCTGCTTGCAACACAGACCTGGATCCATCCAGCTTCAAACAAGTGTGACACAACCTCCTGGTCTATGCTGGAAAGACCTTCATGCAAATAGCCCACGCCATGGCGAAGTGTTTCACTCAACATGGGCTCCTTGACCTTTGAAATGAAAGGTTCCAGTTCTTCTACTGGTCTTAGTAAAAATGCTGGTTTCTCCCCACTATCCACACTCGAGTATGTCATCAAGTCAACTGCAGTAAGTCGGGCATGCTTCCTAGTTGGAACGAACACCAGAGCAGGCTTCCCATTCTTTGCATGCTGTACAATGGCAGTGTATGTTGGCTTTGTCATTGCTTGCATCCTTGCTTCAAAATTGGCAATATCAACCCCTTGAATATGTATCTCCAGAGGTACAGGACGAACACCAGGAGGGAAATTGAATAGACCATGAGAAGTTGCACCTATCCATTCACCAAGGTCCTTAGCATTTGCAAGAGAAGTTGAAAGTGCCACTATTCGAATCTTGTTCTCACCCTGACTTGCAATATACCTCATCCTAGAGACAATGACTTCTAAGACAGGACCTCCTAGTCCACCAATCAAGTGGAGCTCATCAATGATGAAAAGGCTGACCTGTTGAACATGCTTTCTTTGTTTCCATCGGCGAGACAAGGCATCCCATTTCTCTGGAGTACTAATAATAATTTGCCCTTTCTCAAGCAGTTTCAAGTCAGTTGCAGTTTCACCTATCAGTTCAACCACCCTCATACCCAAACCCTTACCAAATTTCCTCTCCCAATCACGACACCGTTCCTTGGCAAGAGCTTCAATAGGAGCAATATACACAGCACGCATGGTGCTCTCAGGTCCTTTCTGATGATTTCTGAGTATTGCAAACTCTGCACATATAGTCTTCCCACTTCCTGTTGGTGCTGCAACCAAGACATTGTCATCAGTGTTGTACAAGACAGTGAAAACTTGGGTTTGGATGGGATTGAAGTGCTTGAATTCTTGATAAAGAGCTTCATACGAGGGATTTCTCAAAGCTGTCACAGGGAGCGGTTGCAAATCTAATAACTCAGTTGGTGGAGGATACTTTTCTGGCAGGATAAGGTGCCTGAAAGAAACAGGCAAGACAGTTTGAGACCCAAGCCATCTATCTGACACAACACGAATGAAGTATTGAGGTGGCAGTGGTTCATAGATTGGCACTATGAAATTCAAAGTGTGGTCCTCATCAATGTATTGCTTCTTCAGCATGAAGTACTCATGATGAAGAATATACTCCCCATCATTATCCTCAACAATCACCCAAAATGGTTCCACATATCCATGGACTTTGTCCTCCCACTGAAAATCTGGTGTTATCATCAATTCAACTCTCAAAACAGTACGAGTAATTGGTTGCACATGTGCTGCCAGATTAAGCTTTGGGAACTGATGAATGAATTTGTGAAGTGTCCTTCCCATCTTAGGGAAACGGATGAGCTCTCCAATCTCCTGAGAGGAGAGATCATAGTACCTTTCCCAGGCCAAATCTTTCTTCTCCAATTTCATTAGGATTTCATTTGGAATTCCATTAAACTGGCGAAGGGGAGTCTGCACACTCCACATCCTTTTGTTGACCATCTTGCACAAATTCAGAGCCTTTTCAGCTAATTGCGCCCACCCTCTTTTCACCACAATCTCAAAAAGAGCACGAAGAAGACGTCCCGCACTCTACAAACAAAATATTAAGTAAAATTTATGAGCAGATGAAATGGACTTAAGTGCAATAGCACTAGAGACAAAGAAAACAGCTAAAGTGATCAAACTATCAAACCTGGGTGATGAAAACCATGTCCGACGTCAGCGAAAGTCCCTCAAGCTTCAGCTGTGAGATATATGCTTGGAGCAAAACATTGATCTTGGCACTAGGCTCTTCCAAGCTTTCCTTGATGGGAATAGGAACACGATCTAAAAGCTTTGCCAATTCCATCTTCTCGTCTTGTCTCACTGTCACATATTTGAATTCTTCACTGAGTGAGAACAACCGACAGAGCTCAATATCACCCATTGTTGGCTTCAAATGCTCATTATATGTAGATATAGTCCCATGAGTGATATAGTAATAGCTGGCAATTCGACCTAGGTCAGTCACTTGGAAATAGCCACTTTTTCTGTCATACTTGATCAAATTATTTCTATCCAATATAGTGGCAGCAGAATGGATCTACAAAAAAAATATTAAACTCCATCAGAAATTTTTAACAAAAATATATTTCAAAACAAACAAGAAAAAGCTGAGCATGCACCAAATACTGAACAGATGCATGTCAAAATTAAAGATGTAAAAAAAGTAAACTAAAATCATTAATAGCATATATAATAATATGGATATTCCCAGAAATCATGATCCCCACCTGGAGTTCTTTTTTTTTGGAGGGTTACTACCTTCAAATAGAAGAAGACCCTATGACAACAATTCTTATACTAGTCTAAAAGAAAACTCTAGAAAAATTAACACACTTCCCAAATCAATGTTCTTATTTTTACTTCTTTCTTTTTGTTAATGAAAGTTGCCCTTTTCTCAAAAGCGCGTTCTTATTTTTACTTGGCCCATTAGTATAAACATGGTTCAAAGTATCAATACACCTCTGTGTATCGGCAGAGGCGTATCGGTACTTAGATTAACACGGATAAAGGATTTTTTTAGTTTTTTTTTTTCAAATTTTGGTTTTTAAAGACGTTTTTTAATGGTTTTTTTACTGAAATAAACCAGGGTACAGAAACACCTGTAAATAGGTGTATCGAGACCAAAAGATACGATACGATACGCCATCGTATCGATACTTTGAACCATGAGTATAAAGAAGCTTGCAACTACAAGTGTGGTTAATTTTTATCGACATCATCCAGATCCCTACATAGCCGACCCCATATGGTTGGGACAAGGCTTAGATGATGATCACTAGATGATTATAATGATCATCATCATTATTCAAGTCCCCACATCTAACTGCCAGCCAACCAGTGTATTATGTCTTTGCAGCCTATATATAACCCTATAATTTACTCACTTGACAGAAGGTACCAAACATTCATTTGTCTTAGCAAAAGATACTGGCTTTGGAATTTCAATGTTGAAATGTCATCATATTAGTGGTTGTGTGTTTATACATTGGAAATTTACTTTCCATCAAATTCCAATGAATTTGTCTACCTTTTACTTTCTTTATTTAAGAAATCAAAATATTTTACATTTATAGGACCATAGAAGGTGAGAAATCCAACTACATGGATCAGATAAAGATAAAGAGTAATAGACCACCATTAAAAAATAAAGTAATCACAGCAAAAAAAATAACCAAAAGGTCAAGTGCTTACCAAATCAGCCCTCCTCTCCTCCAAAGTAATATCTCTAGTCAGAACATCAGGTGCTAAGCCATAGAGAGTTGGATTCCGCACCATTCGAACATACAAATAAGTATATCCAATCCAATAGCAAGCTTCTTTTGCATTCTGAACTGTTCCAAGAACAATTTCTGCATTCAACTGATCAGCCAACTTCGATATAAACTGGCTTTCAATTGGAAGCTGTTGGTTCATAAGAGAAAGATAGTACTGTAGTTCACTATGGCCTGTCAAAATTATTCCTTCCCCATAAGAGTCATATTGAGGTCTTCCTGCACGACCCAGCATTTGCATAACATCAAGAGGACTTAGTTCAGTCCATACCCCTTTCTCGGGATTGTAAATCTGAGTACCCTTGATGATGACAGTGTGAGCTGGTAAATTAACACCCCAAGCAAGAGTAGCTGTGGAAACCAACACTTGCACATGGCCATCTGCAAAGAGATCCTCAACAAGCTGACGATCTACCCTAGCCATTCCAGCATGATGAATTGCAAACCCATAAGGCAAGAGGTCTTTAAGGTCATTGCTTTTGACCAACTCCGTATGACTGTGGAGAATTTCACGGCTTGCACTGTCCTCTTTCAAGAATCGACCAAGAGTATCATTGGCAAGAGCAGTATCTCTTATTGCTCGAGCTGTTTTGGCTGTTTCTTTCCTTGAATGGACAAATATAAGGACTTGATGTTTGCCCGCCACAGCCATTACTTTTTCATAGCAGATATCATTCATCAATTGGAATCTCTGTAAAGGCTTCTTAACCGTGATTCCAATATACTGTTGAGCAAGGGGGCAAGGCCTGTAACTATTATCAAAATGAAACAGACCTTTTTCACGATCAACACGCAAAAACAAGGCAACATCCTCATAGTTAGGGAGTGTAGCAGACAAACCCACAAGTCGGATATGCTCTTTGGTTGTCTCAATCTGTCTAACCGTTCTTGCCACAATACTCTCTAGCACAGGCCCTCTGTTATCATGAAGAAGATGAATTTCATCTATAATGAGAAGTTTGACAAGTTGTGTGTAGGTCCGATCACCAGATTTCCTGGTGATAATATCCCATTTCTCAGGAGTGGTGACAATTATCTGTGTTTCTTCAATTTGTTGGCGAGTGAGTGTCTGGTCTCCACTTAGTTCCTTCACCTTGACATCATAATGGTGCAGACGGTTTTGCAGGTTGCCAACCACTTCAGCAACAAGAGCTTTCATTGGTGCCACATAGACAATCTTATAGTTGCTATGGTTAAATGACCCATCTGGGTTTCTATGCAATGCTATCTGCTGAAGGATGGTTAACATTGCAACATTTGTTTTACCTGCTCCAGTGGGAGCACATAAAAGAATATTCTCTGCTGTAAACAGTGCAGTTTCATAAACCTTACTTTGCACTCTGTTAAGTTGGGTCATCCCTTTGAAAGCTGGTTGTGCCCAGTCAGGCATGACAGAAATTTTTATAAGTTCTTCACCAGGTGCAAGTGGTTTTGGCTTCAAGGCTGGAACATGAACTTCTTCATATCCTTTGTTTTGGTTCCTAAATGACCCCAATGGAAGCTCACATTTCTTGTTCGCCATCAAGAGACCACCCTGATGAAATGCAAGGCTATCAAGATCAAGCAACTGACGTTGCCCCTTCAACCAACCACTCTCAGCATCTCTATCAGCATATCCTCTCCGTTCCCTATCACCATCTACAGCCCCACTCTCATCTTTCAATCTTCTAGCCTCTTCTCTTATACTCTTCTCCAAGTTCTTTTGTCTTTCCTTGGCAGTTGCCCTTGTTGCATGCAACTGCTCCAAAATTGCAGCCAAATCCCCACCAGAACTCATCATTTCTTCCTCAATCTTCTTCCTCTCCTCCTGGTCTTCAGCCCTTGCCAGACGAGTACACCAAACTATTTTCAGCCGGTTCCTCAAGAGAAACTTAATGAGACTGAACTTGTCAAATTCAAGAAGAACCAAAAGCCTAGTCTCCACTTCCCTGTCGTCACCTTCTGCAAGTATCTTAAGAACATCTTCTGCCAGGTTCTTGCAATGTTGCGGGTCAATCTCTTCATAAGCATGAGATATCTTCCTCTGAAGCCAATATGCATCTATGTCTTGAACGTTTAGAGTCATGCCCTCATTTGCTTCTTGCATCTCGTCGTCATCAATCCCACCACCCATCTGCATTGCCCCGGTACCATTAGCTTCCAGCCCATCATCTTCATCCTCTTCTACTTCATGGACCACATCATAGTCGCTGTCGTCCCCTTCCTCCTCCTCTTCCTCCTCAAACTCGACAGCAACACCCACATCATCATCAAGACCCTCATCAGCATTACCAGCAGCCGGGCCCGCAGCATCACCCCCATCCTGGTAATCAGTAATTAGCCTCCCAATGGATACCAGCTGATCAAACACTTGATTCGGGATAATATTCAAAAGCCTCTCAATCTCCTTCTTCTTGTCGGGATTCTTAATAGACTCATTCTTCAACACCGCCAGCACCTCATCTGCCGCACCGGTGACAACATTAGGCGGCTGCCCACCGAGCTGCTGCTGAATAACACCCAGCAGAACCTCGTACGCCGACCGGGTTTCCTTCGTCTTCGGCTGGTAAACGCCTTCCTCAGCAAAAGTGAGGACGCTCTCCTCCTGCAAACGCCGTCGCTTGCTCTGCCTACTAGGAACCAATTCAGAAGGATACTGCTCGCGCTCTTTCTTCTTCTTTGACTTCTTCAGCTTATCGTCGGACTCGGGGGGTTTCCCTCTGTAAGCCCGGTCACCGAAGGTTTTAGGGTCTATTTTTCCATAAAGAGATTCGGGCTCGCCAGTGGGCTCATGGGTGTCTCGCGGGCGAGAGTCGGTGGTGAGCACAAGACTCGAATTGGCTCGATACTCGTACTGCTTGAATCGAGCATGTGCCTCCGCACCACCACCCAAATGTGCCATTGATCCTCACCAACAAAATAAGAACCTAGAGCAGTGAAAGCAATCAGAAATACTAACAGAAACGGACGAATTAGATGTAACGAAAAAGCGCTCCCAGAGCTACTACGACTTGACCCCTACAAAATCAGGACCAAAACAGATACGCTAATCAAGCAGGAATCAGAAAATGAACAGATAAGAACACTTAAAAGATTGGAACGCTAATCAAGCCCTAGTTTACTCAACTGGTGCGGAGAGTAACCCTAAGCCCTAACTATTCAAAAGAACAAGGAGAAGAGGAAGAAGATGAGCAAAATGATAAGATTATAAGGGTAGAGTTACATACCAAATCGCAGCTTGCTCAACCACAGTCCATACAAGTCGGAACCCCTTTCTCAAATCTCAGCTTCCACAGATATAAGTAAAAACCCGTGACTGGGTTTAGGCTTGTTTTATAGTAACACGACACCGCCTCAACTCTCAAGCCTTTCGACAAAAAAATAAAACACTCTCAAGCCCTTAGGCCTTAAAAATAGTAACGATGGCGGAGCGGGGGCGATGTTTGGAACCGTAGGCGTTTTGAAATAGAAGTTATACCAAATACATTGCCGGTCTTTAGAAACCAGATAGACCTGTTTGGTGGATTGGTTCGGTAATTGAACCGAACATGACTATGAAGTATGAAATACGAACGATATTTTTAGGTTTACTGTGTATGTGTTTGGTTCTGTTTGGGTTTATTGGGTGGGCGTTTATCAAAAAAAAATGTTTATCTGATAAATTCTCACTTTAAATGTTTTTCACTTTGTTGTTTGGTTAAGTTGGCGTTTCAGGAAATGCCCCTTTATACTTCAGCAACAATAAATATTTTTTCATTTCATGCTGTTTGGTGGAGGCCTTTCAAGAAACAATCATATTGGATGGCTCAGTGTGACATTTTCATTGTGGTGTATAGGATACATTAGTCAATCCAACAGTCCAAATTACATATGCTTCAATTTGAAGATCGATTTTCAGATTCAACGGTTAATATATGATATAATCCACATCCAACGGTTAATATATGACACTCTCTCTCTCTCTGTATATGTATATATACTTTGTTGCCTATAAGGGAATGATGGCTATTAATGTTATTCAAAAGAAAATTCAGCAAAACAACACGGAATTGTTTTACATTTATGAAATGTAAAGTTACCAATATCTATCTTCTTTCCAACATTTTATCGAACCACTTATTTTTTTTTTCTTTTAAATAACAAAGATACCATTGGCAAGGTAGATTAATTTGGGCTTAGCTTGGGCCCACCAAAGCCCAAATTCAAGTAAATTTTACATCACAATTTACTCTTCTCTCTCTCTCAATTGCATCCAATAAAATTAATAAAAAGTAAAAGCACAAAATCCTTATGTATTCTGATGGAGGGTGATTTGGCTCGACCTCGTAGCACAGGGACACGTGTGCGTGACTTAGCTCGACGAACAGCTCAGCCTAACAGCACAACCGTGACCCGAGCTCCCCTTAAGACCCGAGCTCTCCCTTCCTAAGAAGGGATCACTCTGGCTTTTGGCTAAGTGTCCTGAGGGAGAAACACCTCGAGGCAGCACCGTCAAGATTCCTGTTCGAACTTACTTAAGGCTCGCCTCCAATGCGGGCACCAGGTAGTTCGGTGTAGGGTAGCTCGGCAGACTGCAAGGAGATCTGCTTGACATCCATACCTACCGGATCCGGTGCCAGTGCTCGGATCCCTTACCAAGCGGCGTTCTACCTGTCGTCTCTGAAAAGCATGGCATGTCTGTCGAAGTCCGTACCTTGCAGTAGCAGCCTGTAGCAGTATCCTGCACCTACCACCTCTGCCCTGGCAGTAACGGCTAGGGCAGTGGCGGTTACACCTGATGTGATCGAGCTCCGGTATAAAAGGACCCCAACCCTCACGAAGCGAAGGTATTGAAGCTAGCACTTTCAGCACTCTTAACTCTCTGTGTCTTCTTTGAGTTTTTCCCAGAGTTCTAACTTAACCATCGGAGTGCTACCTCCGGGAGAGCTCCTAGGGAACCCTTCACCTTCTTCTTCCTCTCAGGTGTTGTCCATCACTGCTAGGAGCCAACTCTCAGCCAGCTAGAAGTGCCCAGATTGTGCTGCATCATTTGGCGCCGTCTGTGGGAACGCTTCAAAAGGCCTTCCTCTAACTTCTGTGAAACTTCCCTCAAAGAACTCATCATCACCATGGCTTCCTCCAGCAACTCCGAACGCCGGAACACTCCAGAGGAACAACTCCAGCTACCCACCGTCTGCATCGGGCAGTTCACTATCCCCCTCTCCGTGGACGGGGTACCTAGTCTGAATGTGCCCCTGACGGTGGCACNAGTAACGTCTACGGCAGTGGCGGTTACGCCTAATGTGACCGAGCTCCGGTATAAAAGGACCCCAACCGTCACGAAGCTAAGGTATTGAAGCTAGCACTTTTAGCACTCTTAACTCTCTATGTCTTCTTTGAGTTTCCTCAAGAGATCTAACTTAGCCATCGGAGTGTTCCCGCCGGGAGAGCTCCCCGGGAACCCTTCACCTTCCTCTTCCTCTCAGGTGCCGTCCGTCATAGCTAGGAGCCAAGTCTCAGCTAGCTAGGAGTGCCCAAATCATACTGCATCATTTGGCGCCGTCTGTGGGAACGCTTCAAAAGGCCTTCCTTTAACTTCTACGAAACCTTCTCCCAAGAACTCATCAGTAACACCTATGGCTTCCTCTAGCAATGCCGGACGCCGGAACACCCCTGATGAACAACCCCAGTTACCCACCGTCTGCATCGGGCAGTTCACCGTCCCCCTCTCCGTGGACGGGGTACCTAGTCTGAATGTGCCCCTAACAGTGGCACCCGTGACCATCCCATTACCCTTTATCATTGGAACAACCTTCGCTGAACCCACCATTCTCCCTCCGGTGGCCAGCCAAGGTCAGCTCGAAGACCTGATGCAGTGCATGCGAGCCATGCAGGCCCAAATGCAACAGTTCCAGCAACTTCAGTTCCACCAGCAGCAAGTGTTGCACCAAGTGTCCCACCACCAGTTTCAGCAACAGTTTCCTTCGCTCCCTCCTAGGCATCTAGCTGCGCAGCCAACCAAGCCTCACTGTCGAAGTGAACTTCCTTCCCGCTGAGGAGAGACCTCGGTATCATCTCGTGGAAGGAAGGAAAGACCCCCTACCCCCGCCTCGCGGCCTACAGCTAGGTTGGGGGCCTCCCAGCCGGTTAGGCTGGTATCACCTCGGCGCTCACAGTTCGAACCTCTGCTTGGCGAAAACTGGTTCAAAGTGCTGGTCGATGACCTGGAACAAGGTCCCTCTGTTCGCAGCTACCGACAGTCGTCCGAGCATTTCCCTGGGCCCATCGAGCTCAGTAATACCAAGGCCAGCAGCACCAACGCCGAGCTGGCTAAGAAGCAGTGAAGGCGTCGCCGAGCTTGCCGAGTTGCCACCTGCGACCTGCCTGAGCTCAGAGGCAAGGTAGAGGTGAGTTAGAGCGAGGTAAAAGCTACACCGCTTCTTTTAGTTCCCTCTGTCACCAAAGCTCCTTGCTATCCCCATGCCACGGGACTTCAAGCTCCCCCCGCTGGACAAGTACGATGGGTCCTTTGATCCCAATGACCACGTGGACGCCTTTCAGTCCAGATGCATCTGGCCAGAGCGAGCGAGTCTTGCATGTGCGTGGCCTTCTCCACCACTTTCAAAGGAGTAGCCCGCACTTGGTACCGAAACCTCACACCAGGTTCAATAAGGAGCTGGGCGCAGTTCGTACAGGTCTTCACCTCCCACTTCGTCACCAGCAAAAGGTGTTCGAGGACCCAAGAAAGCCTCATCAGCATAGTCTAGAGGGAAGGAGAGTCCATTCGGAACTACATCAAGCAGTTTAATGATGCTTGCCTACAGATACCCGACCTAGACCCTGCAGTTCGGCTTACTGCGGCCAAGCGGGGCATTACCCACAAGGAGTTTAGGTGGCACGTGGTGGCCAACCAACCCAAGACCGTGACCGAGTTCCTCGAACTGGTAGATCGGTTCATAGGGACAGAGGAGGAGATCAACCAGAAGGGCGAGCAGGCCCTTGAAAAAAGAAAAAGGGAATCGGAGCCCCCAGCTCCAAGTGACAGCAAGAAGAAGAAGGACCTAGCTCGGGGGGCAAAGCCAATTCAGTCTTTCCGAGCTCTGGCAGCAGAAAGGGAATATACACCCCTCAACACGAAGCGGGTCGAGATCCTCATGGCGATCAAGGATGCCCCATATGTGAAGTGGCCACCTCGGCTTAAGGCCGATCCCAATGTTAGGAACAAAAACTTGTATTGTAGTTTTCATAGAGATCACAGTCATAGTATCGAAAACTGTAAAAATCTCCGCGACGAGATAGAAGAACTTATCCGTCGCGGATATCTAAGAAATTTTGTACAGCATAATAATAGTAATAAAGCAGGTCGGCACGGGGAGCAGAGTAAGGAAGCTCCCGAGTCCAGCAGACAAGCGGAGCAACCGCAGAGGCAGCCTCCCGACGAGAGACCAATCCGGGGGACCATCCATGTAATTGTCGGAGGATCAATTGTCGTAGGCTGCACCTCGGCAGTAGCTCGGTCATCAGCCCGTGAGGCCGCCAGGGAAGAGCTTAACCCCCCAAAGCGGCCCAGGATGGAGGAACCGATCTTCTTCACCGAAGATGATGCGCGTGGGGTCCATTATCCCCATGATGACGCGCTCGTCATAAAGATCAAGATCAACAGCTTCGAGGTCAGGCGCGTCCTAGTCGATTTGGGCAGCTCGGCAGATATTCTCTTCAAGGCGGCCTTTGATCAGCTACAACTCCAGGAAAGCGACCCGAAGCCCACAAACACTCCACTTGTGGGATTCAGCGGTGAGGAGGTCAGGCCTTTGGGGAGAGTCACTGTACCAGTAGAGGTTGGCACCTGGCCCAGCATGGTAAGGCTCAACCACGAGTTCCTAGTGGTCGCGACCCCCTCCCCGTACAACGCAATAGTAGGTCAGCCCATTACCCACGCCCAACGAGCAGTAGTCTCCACTTACCACCAAGCGATGAAGTTCCCTACAGACTTTGGAGTCGGGGTGACGCGAGGCAATCAGCTCGAATCCCGCAAGTGCTACGTAGCTGCCCTCAAAGGAAAGGCCAAAGTAGCAGACGACCTCGAGCTAGAACGACCTGTGGAGCAGTTCGCGGAGCGAGCCACACCTACCGAAGAGACCATTCCCATCCTGACTTCGGTAGGGGATTCAACTCGGGTACTTTAGGTTGGCGCTTCTATTGAGGAGCCCCTGCGGTCTCAACTGGTAAGTTTCTTACTCAAAAATTTAGATGTTTTTGCATCGTCAGTGGTAGAAATGCCCGGCATAGACCCTAGCATGTTAACTCACAATCTAAACACTGATCCAATAGTTAGGCCCGTTAGACAAAAGAAACGCAACCTTGCCCCAAAGCGATGGAGGGCAGTCGACAAGGAGGTCGGGAAGCTCCTTGCAGCCAATTTTATCAGAGAGGTTCATTACCCGAGCTGGGTGGCCAACCCCGTTCTGGTAAAAAAGGCTAACGGTAAATGGCGCGTGTGCATCGACTACACCGACCTGAACCAAGCTTGCCCAAAGGACTGCTTCCCACTTCCCAAGATCGACCGCCTAGTGGATGCGACCTCGGGGCACGAGTTGCTGAGCTTCCTGGATGCCTATTCGGGCTACAATCAAATCAGGATGGACTCGGCTGATGAAGAAAAAACTGCCTTCATAACTGAGTTCGGCCTGTACTGTTACAAGGTCATGCCCTTCGGGTTGAAAAACGCTGGAGCCACTTTTCAAAAACTTGTAAATAAGCTATTTGAGCCACTAGTTGGCAAAAAAGTAGAGTGTTATATAGACGACATGGTCGTCAAAACCCAATTTTCACATGAATTAGTACAAGATTTACATTTAGTTTTTGAAATTCTACGTAAATTTAATATGAAGTTAAATCCAAACAAGTGTGTCTTCGGTGTCACCTCGGGTAAATTCCTAGGATACATCGTTAACCGGCAAGGCATTGAGGCCAACCCGGACAAAATCAAGGCCATCCTAGAAATGAGACCACCCCGAAAATTAAAAGAGGTTCAGAAGCTGAACGACCGGTTAGCCGCCATGAGTCGCTTTTTGTCCAAGTCAGCAGATTGTTGTCTGCCTTTCTTTAAGGCCATAAAAGGCAAAGGCTTTGAATGGACCAAAGAGTGCCAGCTCGCATTCAACGAGCTCAAAAGACACCTCGCCGGCATTCCAGTCTAAACCCAACCCGAAGTGGGTGATGTTTTAGAGCTATACCTCTCGGCAAGTGACGAGGTGTCAGCTTGGTACTTAATAAGAGAAGTAGATCGGGTCCAACGACTCGTCTACTATGTTAGTGAAGTGTTGCAGGGAGCAGAGACAAGGTACCTAGAGATAGAAAAGTTAGCCTATGCACTGGTTATAGCAGCCCGAAAGCTCCGTCCATACTTCCAAGCTCACACCATCGTTGTCCTTACAAACAAACATTTGAGGCAAGTTTTGCTCAAACCCGAGGTCTCGGGAAGGTTGACAAAGTGGGCCATCGAGCTCAGCGAGTATGAACTCCAGTATAAACCGTGAACTTCTATCAAGGCCTAAGCCTTGGCAGATTTTATCGCAGAATGCACCTTTAGCTCCGAAGTCCCCAGGCCGGTGGAACACGAGGCCCCCAATACGGGAGAGCTTGGAGTTCCCAGACTGCTTGAACTCGAGCGCCGTGAAGTAGCAACCAGCGTGGCATCTCTCCTAGTTAGGCCAAGCCGGAACTGGGATGAAGAACCCTGGATCCTTCACATAGATGGCTCGTCAAATTAGCAGGGCAGCGGAGCTAGGATCGTTCTGTACGGGCCAAGCGGTGTGAAACTGGAGTACGCACTACGCTTTGAGTTCACAGCATCCAACAACGAAGCAGAGTACAAGGCGCTGCTGGCCGGGCTGGATCTGGCAAAGGAAGTGAAAGCCAAGCACATCGTCGTCTGCAGTGACTCCCAGCTCGTGGTCAATCAGGTTCTGGGTGAGTACGAAGCTCGTGAGCCAACCATGGTAGCATACTTAGCCAAAGTAAGAGGGGCTCTGCTCAACTTCTGGTCACACTTCATCCAGCAAATCCCGAGATCAGAGAACGCTGAGGCCGATGCCCTATCACAGTTAGCTACCACGGGAGATAACACCATGAGGACTGTGTATATAGAAAACTTGCCTCGGCCTAGCATTCTCAGGGGGGCAGAGGAGGTCGCTCCCGTCATTCAAGCAGAGTCGAGCTGGATTGATCTGCTCATGAGCTTCCTGCTACAAGGGGCCCTCCCTGTAGACCGTAATGCCGCCAGGAGGGTAGAGCGTCAGGCAGCCAAATACGTCATGATAGACGGACGGCTGTACCGAAGATCCTACACGCTCCCCTACCTGCACTGCCTGCGACCCTCTGAAGCCGAGCTCGTCCTCCGCAATACTCATGAGGGTCTATGCGGTGGACACCTGGGGGGTAGAGCCCTCGCTCAGAAAGCACTACGACAAGGGTATTACTAGCCAACGATGAAGGCAGATGCAACCGAACTCGTCAAAACATGCGACAAGTGTCAGAAGCACGCCAACATCCATCACCGGCCTGCTGCTGACCTAAAATACCTCACTAGCCCGTGGCCATTCGCACAGTGGGGGATTAACTTACTCGGGCCATTCCCACCAGCAACAGGACAAAGAAGGTTCCTAGTGGAGGCAGTTGACTATTTCACAAAGTGGATCGAAGCTGAGCCTCTCACAACAATCACAACCCGAAACGTCCAGAACTTCTTTTGAAAGAACATAGTGTGCCGCTTCGGGTTACCTCGGGTATTAATTTCCGACAATGGCAAGCAGTTCGAGGACATTAAATTCCAGAACTGGTGCCAAGACATGGGAATCCGACAAAACTTCACTTCAGTCGCACACCCTTAAGCAAACGGTTAGGCAGAGGTCACGAATAGAGCCATTCTCCGCGGGTTAAAGGCACGCCTAGACCGAGCTAAAGGACTATGGGCGGACGAGCTGCCCAACGTTCTATGGGCTTACCGAACCATAGAATAAACCGCCACAGGCGAAACCCCCTTCAACCTTACATACGCCACCGAAGCAGTCATCCCAGCCGAGATCGAAGTCCCTTCACTGCGGCTGGAAGCGTATGATGACAAGGTGAACGAGGACGAGCTACGCACCAACCTTGACCGACTTGATGAAGTAAGGGACCTCGCATACATTAGGACCGCGGCTTACCAGCAGAAGGTAGCTCGATACTATAACGCTAGGGTCAAGAAGCGGAACCTCCGCGTCGGTGACCTGGTACTCCATAAAGTTATGGTACCTGAGCCCAGTGTTGGCAAGCTTAGGCCGAACTGGGAAGGACCCTACCGAGCGAGTGCTCGGGAAAGGAACGTACAAGCTCGAGACCCTAGAAGGGAGACAAGTACCTCGAGCGTGGAATATTGTCAACCTAAGACAATATTACCCATATATCACCGAACTGAGTAGACCACGAGTCGCTCCCTCTAGCCTAAGGGCCAACGCGCCGAGCTAACTGAAGACCTCGGCGCTATGCATGACTTAACCGTCTCGCCAGCATAGGCTTAGTATGCCAAGGACAAAAGGCGTCACGGGTACGAACTCCCTGACGCTTAGCCTACCTCGGTATACGCTGATAGGGGTAAACACCAACCTAAGTAGCCAAGTAGACAGGTCGGGCACGCGCCTTACTATGTCCCCCTCGGCGTATGTTGTAAAATCTTATGGTCACCCCTACTAAGTACAGAGAAACAGTTCGGGGTGACAGCGGTAAAGGGACGCCCACCTCAAGAACTAAACTTGCTAGCTCGATAGCTCGGGATAAGACAAACACTTCGGTAGAAGAGAATTACACAAACACTTGGCAAAATATGTACTTTCATTACATAATACGTGCTTCCATTACGAAAACCTCAGTACAAAGGATCAAGAAAAAGAGAAAGTAAAACTGAGCTCGCAGGCCCAGAGTACAAGGAGCACACAACTACTTCGAAGGCTTGTCGACTTCACTCGGAGCCTCTTCGAGGGTGTTAGCCAGGTCGGTAGCACCAGCCTCCTCATCGCCACCCTCCTCTTTGGAGTCTGGGTCATCCATGGACTAGTGGGCCATGTCGTCTGTGATCCTCCAGGTGGTGATGGCACTTGTGTCGAGGTCGGGGTATGTATGCCTTATCAACCACTTGCTGAGCTTAAACCCCCTACGGTAGACCTACGACATTACGTCGTCAAACCTAGATGATTTGACGTAGTCGATGACGGCTTGGGCCTTCGTCTCCCCAAAAGCTTGATCGAAGATCTCAATCTTCTCCTTAATATCAGCTTTGAGGTACTCCACCTCGTGCTCTAGGGCCCCCTTGGCTTCCTAAAGTTTCTGCACCTCGAGCTGTGAAGCCTCATGACCCGCCTTGAGGCTCTCCACCTCAAGCTTTAAGGCCTCCTGGCCTGCTCTGAGCCCGTCCACCTCAGCCTTCAGCCTGTCCCTCTCGCGGGCTAGCTCCTCCTTCTCTGATAGTAGAACTTCAATGAAGCTCTTCTGAGCTGCAGCGCCACCTTCCAACTGATGGATCTTACACCGAGTTGCCCTCAGATCAGTATGAGCTACGCGAGATGACTCCTCAGCAGCCAAAGCCCACTTCAGATATTTGTCAGACTGAAGAAGGGTCAACGAGTGCACGGCGGTGTTCACCTGGCAAAAGGAGGTCGGTCAGTACCAAAGAGAAAAGAACGAAAGAATGAGGAAATGATGATTCTTAGAGTGTGAACTCACCACCATAGCGTGGGTTGCAGCACGGGCCCCGAGTTGACCAGGGGTGAGATCGGCCCAGTCTGTAACCCCTGCGGGGTAGACAGCCCCTTTACTTTTTTGGAGGCTACACTGGGGGATCAGGATGCTCTCCTCCTCCTCCTGGCTCCCCAAGCTGGACACCGTCGTCTCAGCAGCATGATGAGCCGATTCTTCGGAAGCCTCAGCAGCAGCCTCGGTGGGATTAGGAACTTCGGCAGCAGCCCCAGCTGGCTCAACGACCGGCTCTGCCGCCACCATAGGCCCCTGAGATGGTAAGTCCCCCTCCAAATCAATCACTGGAGGGGCATTAGGGAGCTCGGGCTCCGAGATGGGAGCCTGTGGGTGCTCGGGCCCCGAAGAAAGAACCTGTGGGAGGTCGGGCTCAGGGGTGGGGGTACTTGGGGGCTCTATGCGCGCCTTCTTGGCGGCTTGCTTCTTCCTCTTCTTCATTTGGCGAAGGACCTCTGACCGGTAATCCTCTCTTCCTCCATGGGACCTACAATAGAGCTCGGCGTCAGTAAGCTCGAAAACACTTAGCTGATTAAGCAAGACGCTAAGGTAAAAATAGACCTACCCGGGCTCAAACCGACCTGAATGAGCTTCTCTTCGGCGATGTAATCTTTGTGATCAAACTCAACCTGAGCCCATGAGCGGAATGTTTCCCTCGTCTTCCCGTTGAGAGTAATGTCGGGGTCTTGAGTAGCCACCCTCCAGCTAGTAAGGAAGGGCCACCCCGTGCTGCTCTGAGACTACAAAGTAGTCTCGCTTCCAGGCCGGGACCTTGCTTGGGAATTTATGTAACAATTTGAAGCTCGGGCGAGGTGACAGATAGTAGGTCCGCCTGTGCTCGGGGAGAATGCCCAAGGCGCTCTTCTTTATTGACAAAATAGAACAAAGGATATCTATATCTAAGGGAAGGTTGTATTTGAAACAAAGGGAGATAGTCCCGACCACGTTTCAAATAGAGTTTGGGTGGAGCTGGTCCAACGTGACGTTAAAGCGTCTCAACACCTCGGGGATAAGGGGGTGAAGAGGGAGACGATGCCCACCGACGAGTTGCTCCCTAAAGATCACGATCTCATCCAGACCGTGCTCCCAAGGGAAGTTGCTAGTAGGAAGACTATATAAGTATTCCTGAGGTAGGTTGAAGTGTTGGATGAGGTGCTGAAGTCTCTCCAGCGTCATAGTGGACGGACCGAACTGATCTCACACCCGACCTCGGTGGGAGGTGGACGCCAGCCTACCCGAGGTCACCCGTGCCTCGTGGGAAGGCTGGACAACAGCAGGGTCACCCTGACCCGAGGTACCCACCTCGGGCTCGTTTGAGAGACTATCCCCGCTAGACATTGAACGAAATGAACTGAAAAAGGAGAAAGGGGGGCTCGGGGACTCACCGAGAAAAAACGCAACCGAACTAGAACTGGACGAGTTAGAAGACCCGAGCTGAAGACTTCAAACGCGAGCTCAAGCTAGACGAAGGATACTTAGTGGTGGAAGAAAATGACCAGGGTCCCCCACTATTTATAGCTGCTAGGCCCGGGCACCAACGGTCAAGATCAAAGCAATCTGACGGTTCTCAAGAAAATCGGTTGCGAGGCTCACGAGGTGAAATCAATTTAGCGCGTTTTTTGGCGTCCGCGAAGTTCAGATAGCGTGACGTCCGCGCGTGAGTTGTACACAGCCCGGGTTTTTCCTTTCGAGTGAACTGAGCGCCAGATCGGTCTGGCCAATGGGTTGCCCGATAGGGTGGCATAAGTGTCGAGCCAAATCCACCCAGTGCACCGTGAACTCCCTACGCTGGGTCAGCACCCCTAGCACGGGGAGTGGGAGGCAATTGATGGAGGGTGATTTGGCCCGACCTCGTAGCATAGGGACACTTGTGCGTGACCTGGATCGACGAACAGCTCAGCCTAACAACACAACCGTGACTCGACAAGAGGGACCCGCCGAGTCCAACATTGGCCGCTTGGCGGGTTAAGCGACTCGCCGGGGACTAGCGCCCGACCAACCTTGACTCCCACCAAGTGTGGGATCTCCCGAACTCCTCTCAAGGCCCGAGCTCCTCTTGGGACCCGAGCTCCCTCCTAAGGGGCCCCAAGCGCTCCCTGCACCCCGGCTTTTGGCTAAGTGTCCCGAGGGAGAAACACCTCGGGGCAACACCGTCAAGATTCCTGTTCGAATTTGCTTAAGGCTCACCTCCAATGTGGCCACCTCGGTGTACCTCGACACCTCGGTGCAAGACAAATCTGCCCCAGGTAGTTTGGTGTACGGTAGCTCGGCAGATTGCAGGGAGATTTGCCTAACATCCGTACCTACCGGATCCAGTGCTAGTGCTCGGATCACTTGCCAGGCGGCGTTCTGCCTGCCGTCTCTAAAAAGCATGGCATGTCTGTCGAAGTCCGTACCTTGCAGTAGCAGCCAGTAGCAGTAGCCTACAACTTTCACGAAGCGAAGGTTACACCTGATGTGACCGAGCTCCGGTATAAAAAGACTCCAACCCTCACAAAGCGAAGGTATTGAAGCTAGCACTTTCAGCACTCTTAACTCTCTGTATTTTCTTTGAGTTTTCCCCAGAGTTCTAACTTAGCCATCGGAGTGTTCCCTCTAGAAGAGCTCCCAGGGAACCCTTCACCTTCTTCTTCCTCTCAGGTGTCGTCCATCACTGCTAGGAGCCAACTCTCAGCCAGCTAAGAGTGCCCAGATTGTGCTGCATCATTTAGCACCGTCTGTGGGAACGCTTCAAAAGGCCTTCCTCTAACTTCTGTCATTAGTATCTGCATATAATTTTATAAGGCAATTGTAAAAACAAGTATCATGAATATTCTAATGGTAACATAAAAATGGAATTAACAATAGCAATGTGCACATGTTCTGCAATGTAAGCTAATGGCATGTTATGAAAGTAAACCAATGTATAATACATGTACAAAATAAAAACAAGTTGAACACAATCTACACTAGACGGCAAACATGATATTGTGTCATCTGATATTTCTCCCATAGTTTATTGGCAATTTGATCCTATACTAAGGTGATTTCAGAGTTGCTAGTAGAAGCATGTTCACCATCGTGCCCACCATCACCACCATTTGCTTCATCATCTTCATTATTGATCATTTGTTCATCGGCCCATATGTTTAGATGTACATCCTCGCATGCCTCTCTCTTGGTGAAGTTATAAGTAATGAAGCATGCCATAACTATGAATGGTTGCAATGACAGATCATAGCGTGGCATGTTCTTCAGTATTGGGAATTTACCCTTTAGTACACCAAAACATCGCTCTATTACATTTCGTAGAGATGAGTGTGTATAGTTGAATAGGTCTTCCTTGGTTCTAAATCTACCCCATTGCCCATGAAATTCACTCAAGTGATAGGGCCGACCTGAGTACGGTGTAAGATAGTCGGGTGCACTGGCAAAGCTAGAATCAACAATGTAGTATTTCCCTGCATGCACGTAACGAAGAAAATAGCTATTACAATGAATTCTACTAATAAATGTAGTAAATATGATGATGGAATAGTCTCACCTGGGGGAGGTACTGGGAAGTGGACATTTGGCCTAACAATAGCTTCTGCAAGTATCCTAGAATCATGAGCCAACCCCTCCCAATCAGTGTATACAAATCTGAACATCATGTCAAAGTCACATAAGGTCAATACATTTGATGTGCAAACCTTCTTCCTGCCTCTGAATGGGATTTGCTTGTCACATGGTACACATGCTGAGACATGGGTGCCATCTATAGCCCCCACACAATCCTAGATATAGATAACACCATTCACTTACTCCATTGGTATAATAAGATTTGGCATGAGCATATATATGCTAATTCAATTACCTTAAACATAGGAAAGTATCTATCCGATCTTCTGATGTGTGCTGGTGTCTTTGTGAAGGATGGTGGAGTAATGAGCTCCTTCCTTCCCTAACTTGCGTATTGCTCTAACAACCTTCTTTATGTGAGTGTTAATGATCCATGTTGAATGTTGAAATTGCTCGGCCATTGCACGGTTTTTATCGTTTTAGCTTATGGTGAGTAGGAACATTGCAAGAGACTCCTCAACTGTGGTCCGTCTTGTGTTTTTTAGAAGACCCCTATCCCTAAGCAAGTCAGCAAAGTTTTTGAACACATGGCGTTCCATCCTAAATGACTCATAGCACCTATATGGGTTTTCAAGGTCATTTAGTATTTATTGCCACATATAATTGTGTCTGGTCAGGGATGAGATGCGGCAAGGTTGCTTAGTTAATCTCGGTGCATATGTCTCTATTAATAATGGGATAACAATCGTGTTGACTATCAATTCATCCTCATCCCATGATGAGCTAGTTTCAACCCTAGTTTCACGACCACTACGAGTAGGCATTGCTACACCATAAGATCCATAAACCAATATAAAGCATGAAGCAAATCATGAATCAAAGCAATATATTACTACCAAAAAAAGCAATCCATAATGCATCAAGCATTCCATGTAATAAAAGTTCATCAAAACCACTAAAAAAAAACAAAGATGGCATCACAATCCAAGTAATATGACAATACGAAGTTTTTTCATCTTAAAACAACAAACAAAGACATGTGAACTAATAAAGCTAATCAAAGCAACTCATTTCTCGGCTCTCATCATCAGCCAAGGCATTAAGCCAAGTAGCTCTCAAATTTGGATCCATTGCAATGAATGTCCGCGTCCAGTGGTCCTCTTGAAACAACTTTGTTGCCTTGACAAAGCAAGCAGGGGATAAGACGTGGACCCGGAACACGTCATTAAGCATCTGTATGCATGTCTCCAAGGTTCCAATGTCCTCACGTGCCTCCATGCGTTCCATCTCCATGTGTTCCCTCTCCATGCGCTCCTCTGCATCTCATACTTTAGCTTACTAGCCTCTGCCCAAGTACCAAGGGCTTTCTCAAGACGGAGGCAAATAAATCTTCTTTCCTTTCTTCATAGATGAAGGGGGGTTGCCAACTCTTTTGTGCTTGTCTCCCCCTTGTGGAGTTGTGGCATTTCCGCCAGCATCTACAATGTCCGGACTAGCTTCAGATTTACCTGTATACGGTGTGCCATGCTCATCGTCGCCAACGGTGTGCCATGCTCATCTACAATCACACGTATACGGTGTGCCATGCTCATCTACAATCACACCTGTATACGGTGTGCCATGCTCATCTACAATCACACGTTGTGATTGCTCAATCACAGTGTCTGAGTCTTCAGCATTACTATATCTGTGTTCACCGGTTGCATGTGTCCCCTCAAAGATATAATGCAAGTCATCCCAGTGATAATAAACCTTCGTTCAATACTTCTTAGCCCATCTATTACTCTACAAATATACACACAAAATCAACATTAACCACTACATCCATATGTGAAATGAATCAAATCGAATAATACCTACTTTACAGAACTCATCCCACACTTCTTCATTGGCCGTGGGCATCATCGTCAGTGGATCCATTGCGAAGCCAGTGTGGTTAATAAGAGATAGATATTCCGATCGTCTCTTCTTAAATGCATGGAACTTGTTTTTGAATTGATGAAGATGGTAGGACTTCCTATGAATCTCATTAAATTTGGTCCTGATGTAATTCCAACCCATCTGTGTTGAATGTACCTGTGGGCCTGTTATTGGCCCTTACCATATCTACCATCAACCTTATAAGCATCTACTCTTCCATGTCCGACCATGCCGCACTTTCTACCCCAGTTTTGGACCCATCCCCTTCGTCTGCTTGTGAAGACATCCTAAATAGCAACCCTGTATACAAAAATACATATGCAACCCTATCTAATTAAACTCTTGCATCTAAATAAAATCCTCCTCGTGATGTCCTATAACCCAATACAATCTACATCTACTCTCAAGGCAGTGTTTGTTAACATGATTGGTCAACTTTTTTTTGAAGTCAAATGGCAAAGTTAAGCCTAAATAATGTTTAGAGTACAGCCAAGAACCAAACAAGAACAATTCCGAATTATACAATAATTCAAAGTGGAGAAACTCATGTCAAATTAGAAAATAAAAGTAGTCAAAATTGTCATAGCCGTTCTGCTTGGGAATTCTAGTTATATTCTTTGTTTTATCAGCTCAAGTTCAAACAACGTTCCTTGGAAGTGGATTTGGAATTCAGGTGTTCCATCCGAGGTGGTGTTGTTTTCGTGGGCTACAATTCTGAACAGCCCTTTCTCTTTGAAGGGGCTTTTTGTGTAATCTTTGGGGGTTATACCCTTGCTTTATAATAATCCTTTTACTTTTTTTTTTCAAAAAAGACAAAAGAATAAGATATCATTCAAATAGAACAAGGCCCAAGGACCCCCCGCGACCCTACCAAAACTTTCAGATACAAACAATTCTTTCCCAACCCTTTGAGCAACCAATATTCCTCTCCAAATGGGTCTTAGTGGATTGGGTGCCTTTCTTGGGAAGACCTAGGTTTTGGACAGTGAGGACACCTTTCATACAGTCCTCTTTTTTATTAACTCAAATCTTTGTTACTTTTATTCAAAGAAGGGGGGAAGGATGTCATTTCTATTGCTCCAATATATGCTTTGAGCATCTGTTTTCTAGTTGCTTAATTGCTTAGGCTTTGCTGTCTTTTCCTTGTAGTTTTCCATCTTCTCCTCTTCTTTAATCATTGGTTCAAGTGTTCATCAACCCATCCAATGCAATTGTGCATATTGAATCTCCTACTTATGTTAGTATTTATGGTTTGTGGATCGGTTTCTTCTTGTTTTCTAGTCATTAGGGTGAGCCTTGTTGATATTCTCTCTCTTTGTTAGTATTATGGTCTTGGTAGCTCATCTCTAGTAGAGAATTTGCTTCATGCTATCCCCTGTCCTCAAATCTGTAACATTTCAGAAAATAAGCCTAGCAGAAACAACACGAGCGACTTGGAATTCTTGGGGGGGGGGGGGAGTTTGGTGCGACGAATGTGTCAAGGCAGGTGCTTCTTTCCTGATTAACAATGGTAGGGAGTCATTTCGTGAGGCAAGTTCTCAAGGGGTCCAGAATGTTGGGGCTGAATGCTTCCACTTGAGTTCGTTACTGAAATAAATGATTTTTGTCATGTAACACTGAACAACTACAAAAGAATTAATCTACAAGTAAAATGATGTTCGTAAATAATAACTTAGAAGTTAGTACAGACAATAAAAGAGGAGGAAATTAGTGAGTTAAAACAAGCATTACATGCAGATAAATGAGAGTTTTAGGAAGTGATTATTCAAGATACCAGTAAGGTTTTCATAGTTAGAGGAAAAACTAATGAACAAAGTCTACAAACACTAAGAAATGAGTACCCTAGTTTTCCTCAAATAGAAGGAGAAGGGGGAATTTTTGAAAAATAAAAACATTAATTACAGTATAAAGTGCATTAGAAATTGATTATAACAAATGGGTGTTCAAGTGCCTATCCAAATTGCTAAAGAAAGATACCAGTTTAAAGAAGAAACAACAAAGGAATTAATTTGGGAAGGCTACATTCAAATAGCAGCAGAAAACGAAAAACAATTACAGAAAACACAGGGTTACAAATAAATAGCAGGTTACCTTATAAGAAATCAATCGCCTCTGGCTGCGGTAGAAAATGGTGGTAATACCAACAAAAACTGAAAAAAAAAAAACCCTGCTATCTTAATTTTGCTTTGCTTGGAATCCCGGTTGGGTAGAGCTTAAAGATGATAGGAATGATAACAGGTGGGGAGGACAAAGGTGTATATACTGTAAAGCAGGCCAAAAGATTTATGAAACGGCTGTAACAGTAAAAATCTGAAGGAAACTTCCATCAAGAGGAAGAATCCAACTTATCCAGAACCAAAGGGTAATAGTCATTCGTCAAATTGCTTCTAGCAATAAAGAGAAAGGGGTTTGTCTTGTCAAACACATACGGAAGAAAAATAGAAAATAATAACAGATGAAAATAGATCTCAGAGAACAAACCGATAGCAAATCAGAGATATAAACCAAAGATACGAGAAACACTATTTCCCTCTCTCTCTAAATCTTCAGCTGCGACAACACTAGCTTTGATTCAAAGAAAACAGAGATGTTGCCGAAAGTTGGGAGAAAACAGAATACAAAGAGAAATTAGAGAGACAATAGGGAGAAAATGAAGACCATACTGGCGGTAGCTGCTCCTCCCTCCAGCGAAGAATCCTCTCTCCGATCGTCGCTAGACTGAGGTCTCCTGGGTGTTCTCCTCTGAGGCGGCGAAAGACTTCTCTTTAGTGCTTTAGCACTTAGGTCATTGAAGTGAGGAAGAAGATATCCACCTTTAGAATGGTAAATCCAGGTTGCACCGGATCACCACCTCTGGATGACATGTTAGTAGCCACATCGGATCCATGTCAACTCATCGTTTCATGAAACGCCCAGGCGTTAACGGCTATTTTCATGAAAACCAATACAAATAAATGCATAAATGTTTATTTGCGTTTTTTTAATTAACACGCGTACCAAATAGTGAGTTTTAAGCCAAAAAACATTGATCCCGCCTGGTATGGTGCTGAGGTGATAAATGGTTCCAAACATGCCCTATGTGTTTAGAACTGATGGCATTTTTTCATTCCTACTTTATTTGCTTGCAAAACTGAGAAAGGTAATAATTGAAATTGTTTATGACAATTAGGTGCCATTAGGCACCACATCAGCATAACAATGAAAAAATGCCTAACACGGTAGGAGAAGCTTTGAAAAATAACTTCACTAAATGGCGTGTACACAGAAATTGAAATCACCTTTTGCTATTCTCAATGCATAGGGAAGAGCATGAGAGGGGAAATGCTGAAGTGGCACGTATGTGATAGAGTTTATTGAAAAAACAGCCACGCTTCCATACACATGCTTAATTTTTCATAAATTGCATATTAGTAACTATACTTTGTGTCTATTCTCACTTTAGTATCTAAACTATAAAAGGTGTCAATATGGTACTTTAATTATTGAAAACTTCCAATTAAGTATCCATCATTAGCAATTTGTCTTCCTCGTTGATGACAAGAATTACTTGTCCTCTTTGACAATATTAGCAATCTAAACCCCCTTTATTATGGATTGAATAACTAAAAAATGGATTACAATAACAACAGTCTAAATCTGTCTTCTCTAGCAATGATGTCATCTTTTCTAGTGATGTTTTTGTGTAGCTTTTTTTTTTTTTTAATGGAAAGCATTGGTTCTCCAGCAAAAAAGGTTATGGCATAAAGTGAACAATGGTGCTCATTCATAACGAAAAGAGATTTAAATATGGCTATAATAGCCATTTTCACAATTATGTTTCTCTTACCTATTTAAAGGGTATTTGTGTCCTTTCACATGTTTAATATTGATTAACAATTTTGGACTAAATCGACAATTTTCAAGACTTTAGATGCTATAGTGGCACATTTTGAAGTTCAAGTACTAAAATGAGACTAGCTGCAATGTATAGGGTACTAATCTACAATTTACCATTTAATTTATAGATAGACCCCATGCTATCAGATTTTTAACAAAGTAAAATGATTAAATTTCCCATTCAAATTTCTATAAACTAACAACAATAAATATCAAAAGATGATGTAATCTGATAGACCCCATGCTATCAGATTTACAACAAAGTAAAATGCTAATACTAAGAGCTTGGAGGGCAAAATGTTGGAATCTAAAAGTAAGGGGGGCCTTATTGCAAAACAATTATTTTGGGATCAAGTAATAGAAGTCCAAAACTCACATATGGGTTGACCTTTTTTCTTTACTTCATATGGGTTAACCTTAGATCATCATTCCTAAGGCTTAGTTTGGAAAGAGAATAAATACAAATATGTACACTTAAATACATACAAAAATATAATACAACATACAAGGTTTTGTACTCTATATATTTGTATTTGTACCTCTTACAAGCCAAGCCTAAATCTCAAATCTCATACAAGATATTGCAAAGGAGAGGGAGGAAATGGCCACCAAAGTCGGCTTTCATCCCTTGTTCCTTGTTTGTTTTCTACTTGCCATTATCTCTAATCTTCTATTTTCATTGTAGATTCATGCAGAGTAGGTGCCCTCTTTATCTCTCTTGCACACACACAAAGCTTGATAGAGAAAGAGCAATGGGGAATGAAGGCATAATGAGAGTGATGACTCATAATCAAATTCAAAATCTTGTTACATCTGAAGACTAAATACCACTTAAGGTTGCATTGGTTTCAAAAAAAAATGGAGGAAAATTTTTTAAACTAAAATATTTGGAGTTATATCTCCACTCCATTTACAACCAAAATAATTGTCTTTCATGCCATTTACATCAAAAGAAATGAAAATAAATAAATAAATACTTGTGTTATAAAGACAATGAAATTAATAACTGAAAAAATATTTTGACCATAAAAGATTTAGGGACTTTTTTCCATGTTCAGCTTTATGGATATTAATAGTTGGAACCTATGTGATGCACAACCTTTGTGTATTTTCAGTTTTTTTTTTTGCATTTTTTATTGTTTTCTACATTTCCTTTTTTATTGTAATTCTTTTCCTTTGTTATATTCCCCACAATTTTCCATTTTCTGTTTTCTCTTGCTTTCTACATTTTCCTCATTGTCTTTGTTGTATTTTTCTTCAATTTCCTTTTTTTTTGTAATTTAATCTTTTATAGTTTTCTATCTTTTTGTACTTTCTTGATCCTCCATATGCTACACTTCATTTTTTGTTGTACTTTATGTTCCTCTAATTTTTTAGTTTTTGTTTATTTTCCATTTTTGTTGTATTTTTATCAGATTTCTATAAGTTCCCTTTTTGTTGTATTTTTTTCCATATTCTTCGATTTTTTTTGGTGTTTTTTCATATAATATCTATATTTTACAAAGAAAGTGGCAACCAATAAATAAGCTTTATAAATAAGGAAAATGGTATCATGATACAAGGATCTCTGTAATTTACCTCCAACCCTCCTTCAAAACCCCTAACCCTCAACTTTAATAAAGGTGGAATTTGATTCCACTACAATCAGCTAAAGACTTTAGGTTGCGTTTGGAAGCGGTGTAAAATCCAGTTTTTATGGATTTGGGTGGGATGTATTTTGTATGCATTTGGGTGGGATGTAAACTAAGACCCATTATCGATGTAATTCACCATTTAAATATACTTTTACATCGAAAATCAATGTAATTTTTACATTGAAAAAATCAATGTAAGAGTTGTTGAAACTCTCCATCGGTGTAAAAAAATGAAAGGTAATAATGTCTCTTTCAACTTCTTCACCTCCACTGAAGAATTGCTCCTACTTCATTACCATCGAGTTCCAACTTCCATCGTGGTTACAAACTCCAGCCGACCCTCTCTTCTTCTCTCTTTCCACTCCCCCCCCCCTCTCTCTCTCTCTCTCTCTCTTTCTCTCACCATGTCTTCTCCTTTGCCAGGTTTGGGCGCATTCTTCCTACAACAGAGGAAGGTCCATTGGTCAAGGCATCTCGTGGTATTTATTTCACGATGAGCAAAGTATCTTTGCTATTCCAGAATACCAATCTATATGTTTGCCATTGGTATAGATCTGCGTTTTTTTTTTTCGGTTGTAGTGTTTTTATTATCTCTTGTATTTCATAGATCTGAATGTTTTATTCAATGGGATCTCAATAAAAGTTGTTTTACTTTGATATGGGTTTGTAGTCCTTCTCCTTTGCTAGTTGTGGTGTTTTTTTTTTTTTTACTTTGATTTAGGTTTATAGTTTTTATTCCAATTATGTTTGTATTCAGCCGATCTGTGTAAGTTTGTTAGGTCTAGATTTATAGTCCATTGATCTATTTTGTACTTAGCCAATAAGTTTGTTAAATATAAATTTATAGTACTCCTTTGCTCTATATAAGTTTTTATTGAAATGGTGATTGTATTCAACAGATCTAGAGGTCTTGTTTCATCCTATAACCAATTTGATGGGTTGACCTACTTTAGCTTTGATGCATAAAAAGTCCCCTTCTCTTCCATTTCTAAGGACAACCAGTTGCCCCTGTTTTTTGGGTACAAATAAAAGTAGGAGGGAATGGAGGGGGTTGGAGGGCTCACATTGGTTCTCACAATTAGAGGGGATTAAAGATATTTCTTCTTCATTCTCTTATTCTCTTCTACTATTTTCTCTTTTGTTCTCTACCAATTTTCTGCTTTTATTTCTTATATAAGGATCACAAATAACAATAGCTGTGTTTCAAAAAAGGAAACAACCAACTCTAGGGGAAAAAACTTGGTAACAAAAGAAAAGAATAAGATGAAGAGGAAAATAGATAGAGAGAGAGAGAGAGAGAAGAGACTTCTGTTGATTTTCAAATTATCAAATTTCTTCTAGTATCATACCCTTCCAACTTCATAGATATTGCTACTACCAACCACCACTATCCTTTTCCAACAATCATAAAATTTAGATAGGACATTCCATATGTAATTAATTATTGCATTAGTTGACACTCTTTTTTTTTGTAACAAGTTAGTAGAGTTAGGCCTCATTGCCAATTAGATTTACATCCACAACCCTCATATGATTTGGTGGAATCGGCATTATTCATTCTAAACATGTAATCTCAAAACCCCATAAAGTTCTCCCAAAGTCCTTAATTTTGTTTGACCTGGCATAGTTGCAACTTATACTGAACCATGGATATGTTGTTAGTGATCCCATGTCATTCCATGTATTTGCATTTTATTTGCTTGTTTTTCCTTTTGCAAGTGTTTATTTTTTGAACAATCGGTCGTTTCCTGATATCAAATATAATTTGAAAATGAATTACATATAACATGTTTTTCGTTTTGTTTAAATTGAATTCTAATTGCCTTTTAGGATATGGTTTTGTTTTGTTTCCATTGCCTTAGTATCCATTATCTGTATGCTCAGGTTGTCATGACTCTACATCCTCACAGCTCCAATCTCTTTTATAGCAGCTCTTCCCACCCAAAAGCGTATTTAGTACAAATTTTTTTTCTAGTGTTCCTTGTCTACTACAAAATGCATTGCAATGCCTCTAAGTCTAGGTGAAGAAACTTGAAGTCCTTGTCGTGACACTTGAGGCATGCATTTGTCTCTTCTCCTGAAGCAACCTCATTAGCAAGTTGTTGGACAAACTTTTGTGCTTCAGCACCTAAGACAAAATAGTCAATTTCTAAAGTCTATTAAGCATGGGTGTATATATAAGTTGTGTATGACAACATAGTAATTTTAGATCTTTCTTTTACTTGAGGCTAAAAGCCCATGTTTTTAAAGTTAAGCATACTGAATCATCAGGCTAGGTTGATCTGAAACCATATATACATGTTATCTAACCTTCCAAGTCTACAGAATATATATATCATC